AGGTCCTGTGTCAGAGTAGGTGCTGGCACAATAAAAAGATCCCACACTGCTAAAAGGCTGTAAGTGCTGAGTACAGGTCTAAATTTGCAGCCCTCCACGGACAATTCATGACATTTCAATTTGAGTGAAAGATTCTCAAAGGGACTGTAAAAGAAACAAACACTCAGTGTTCATTTTATCATGACACTGGATCACAAGAATGGCCTAGTGTCAAGATACCTTGTCTGTCTGTCCATCAGTCTGTGCAGTTGTATGAGGTCCATTATTTTTAGCTCACTAAAAAAGATACTGCATTTTTATTCAATATTAATTTTGATACAGATTTGGATACCCAGATCCCACCTACCTACAGAGGGTACAAGAAGAGCTGGCAGCCAAAGGAGTCACAGAGTGAATGGAAGGAATTTCAGAAAAAAAAATGAAATATTTGTTTTTCTAGTTTTAGTATTTGGTTTCTTGCCAGAGGAAAGTATTTAATTTAGTTCATTAGTTATTCTATAAAGTAGATGTTTTTTTTTTTTTAAATTATGTATTCTGGAATGATAAAGAAAAGAAAAATTCAAGTATTTTAATTAATTTTATTCTTATGGGCTAGATTTGCTGTGATTAAAACAATTATGCAGATTTGTGATTTATGAATATAAACAAGTAGGAATGTATTGTCACTGCAGTTAAATTGTCCTATTACTGTAACTTTTAATTATTCATTCAACCAGACAAAGCGTTTTAGGAACAATAATGCTAGAGGAAGTTTGTTTCATTCTAGAAATACCTAGGTAAATCAGAATTCTTCTATAGGTATGGCCATTTTGTAAGAGAGAGAAATAAAAAAAAAAATCAACAAATATCTTATTTGGTTAAAATTTGAGATGATGTATGACCGTATCATTGTCAAAGATGAAAAGAAAATTAAAAAGAAAATACGTACAGTAAAAACCAAGTTGCAATGATCATGCTTACAGTGAATTCACACTTACAGCAGAATGATTCTCTCTGTAGTTATAATTATGAATTATGTTCATAAGAATTAAAGCAAAATTGTTTTATCCTGGCACATTGCTAATATAAGCATGTTTTAGGAACTGTATATATTAATTTTTCAATTTTATGAGAGAGCAATTCCTCCTGAATTGGAAATATTTTTTAACCTTTTAAAATAGTTTGTACTGAAAAAAAAAATAAATTTAGTCATTGCAGCTGATTAGTGTTTCACTATCCATCATACTTTAGTTTGGCTTAAACAATACCATGTGACACAATTAACAGATTGTTAATTTTGCAAATTATATAATCAAAGAGTCATTTCCCTAAGTAATTTACTTTTGTTAGTTTTGTAAAATAAGAATTAGATTCAATTTTCTACTTGCATGTAGTAATTAATTAAATCATAATTCTTTGTATATGATTTTGTTTTAAATTTAATCAATTTTAGTCAATTTTTATAAAACTAGTAATAGACTGATTGTAGCATATTTATTATTTCTTACATAGACATTTTTTCATATGTTACTTTACATGAAAAATATGGTTTTCTGTTCTTTGCATATATTAATTATATTCTTTGCAAATTGCAGTACAATATAGAAATATGGTATAAAACATCACAATGAAATGCACAAGTACTTATCAGTAAATCAATGCTAAATCCTGACCAGCATTTTTATGTTTTTTTTCTTGTTGTTGTTTTTTTTTTTTTTGAAAGACCTGAGGTGACTGTGCTTTAATATTATACTTGAAAGGGGGAAATACATGAGAATATTAATAGTATAGCGACCAGGAGGTTTGGTGTTAGGTAGCTAAACGGGTAATTAAGGTCCCAGGTTCAAAATTGGTTTGGTCCATCACATTTTTTGTATCGGTAATGTAGCATGGAAAAAATTCAGTGCTAAAATAGAAAAATAATCCTGTTCCATCAATCTGTCATCATTAACTTTCTGTTCATTATCTCGGCAACAGTTGCACACATTCAACTCAAATTTGACATATGGATTCATCATTGAAATATGCAGGTCAAGTTTAAATTTGGTCATGCTCCGATGATTTTTGACAGAGTTATTCCTCTTGAACTTAGAAAAAAATAAATTTTCAGTTCCTGCTCTTTTCATTTTTTTTAGGGATGTATGTATTAGGTTGAAATTGCATATGCAGGTATTTTAATAAAAAATACATGCCAAGTTTGAACTTGATTGTGGTCCAATGATTTTTGACAAGAGTTATCCCCTTGAACTTAGAAAAAATAAGAAATTTTTAGTTTCCACTGTCTTATGTAGTGATGTTTATAATTACATGTATAAGGTTGGAATTGCATATGCAGATATTTTACTAGAAAATACAGGTCAAGTTTAAATTTAGTCTTGGTTCGATGATTTTTGACAGAGTTATCCTTCTTGAACTTAAAAATAAAAAGAAATTTTCAGTTTCTGCTCTCTAACTTTTGAAGGGATATATGTATAAGGTTGAAATTGCATATGCAGGTATTTTACCAGAAAATACAGGTCAAGTTCAAATTTGGTCCTGGTCCGATGATTTTTGACAGTAAACCACTTGTACTTGGAAAAGATTTTAAAATTCACAATTTCTATCATTATCTCAGCTACAAATTTGCAATTTGAAATTTTGGCTGCCTGCGGGGGGCATTCATGGTGTTACGACACAATCTAGTTTTTTCTTTTTTGAAAAGGAGAGATCAAGAATGTTCACCCCAAGACCTTGCTAATAAAAAAAATTTCCGTCCAAAATTTTATAGGTTTGTGATTTCTTTTAATATGATTTATTTTATTTTGTAGTTTTATATGAATTGTAGATTAGGGAAAAATTTTTTTAACATTAAAATATAAACACATTACATAGAGGGTATAGGTCAGAGAATATATATACAGTTGAACTTCGGTATCTCGAACACAGACATCTGGAATACCATGGATATGTTGAAGTCATTTTGAAGTCCCAACTGCTTATTCCTTAAGTATTTTACCCTTGATATCTTGAATCCTCGATCAGTTATCTCGAAGTATTTTCTTGGTCCTTCTGAGTTGGAGATAACGAGGTTTGACTCTATGTACATTATATCAATATTATATGCATGAAGGATTCACAATAACCTGTGCAAAATACAGCCTAACAAAAAATATTCCAAAATTATCGTTTTAACAAATATGAAGTAGAAATGAATAATTTTTTTTAACACATTGAAGTACTTGAGAAAATACTTGAGAAAAAAGTCCTCAAATTTATTAACAAATAATTTGTGAAATGAGTTTTTAAAGTACATTGACAAGTGTAAGAAAATAACTGGGGGAAGGGGGCATAAGAAAACCCACTGGCCACAAATTTGATTAATATGGATTTGATGCAAGCATCTCTTCATTTTGTGTAGATTCAAGTTTGATCAAATCACAGCCCTTGGACTTGGTCTTGGCTTTTCTTATAACATTTAATGTATGTATTATGCGTGATGAAGTTTGTTCATGAAGTGAAAATTTCTGTTGAAGTGTGCATATTTTGCTTACTTATTTAAAAATGTGTTTGTGTTTGAAACTCTGCATTATTTTTCACTAAGATTTTCTGAATAATTGTAATTAATGCATAAAGATATTCTCTTTTTTTTCAATTTAAACACAGTTTTGATCATAAAGCTTAAATTGTGTACAGTAATTTAAATATACATGTACATTTGTTTTTAAGCTTGTTTGAGCTGAGATCTGAGAAAAATGTTCTGATCAAATTTTGTCCAGCTGTTCATCTTGTCCAGAACCAATGTTTGTTCAATTTTAACTGATCTTACAATAAAGCATTCTTGAGGGTTTGTTCAAATGAGGATTCACATCCTCTATAAAAAGAACATAATTAACTTTGTAGATTCAAGTTTGTTCAAATCAGTGCCCTTTAGGGAAGAGTTAGGTTACTATTGATGATATAGAAAAAAAACCTTTAAAAATGTTGCTGAGCCTGAACCATGATTAGTTTAATCCTCAGTTTGTGAATATTAGGTTGTTTGAACCAGTCTATTTTACAAAGGAATTTATAGGATCAAATCATTTAAGTAGCAATCTAAGCCACAATAACATATATTTATGCAAACATTTATAAGTTGAGTGGATTCATTTCTCCTCCTTTAAATTATGGCTTCAGGCTTTAGAGTGCAGCTATAATAAAATATATTTATGCAGGGAAAAACAGCTAAAAATTCTTTTTCTTTAGAACAGGTAGGCTATGCTTCTAATATTCAGGCGTCCCTATTTTTATGGCAACAGTATGGGTTTGATATTTTTCAAAGAAATACATAGGAAATTTTCTGAAAGCAGCAGGGCCAAGTTGACTCGGGTGGGTATTGTGGCTTATGGACCTCTTTCTCTGAAGATAATTATTTGCTGAAAGATGTGGTGTAATAAGGCATGAAATTGATTGTTTTTTATTTCTGATTATAATTTATGTATTGTTTACAGTTAAGTGTAGTATTCTAAATTAACTTACCACACTGTACAGATTTTGACCATAATTTTTTAATTGTTTGAAATCACAAGTGTGTTAACTAATTTTGTTTTGTGATTTAATTTTCTGATGCATATCTTCTGAAATGAAATGAAAAATTTATCACCTTTGATTGTAAGCCCATATATGATAGTAGCAGCAATAAAGAATATTTGGCTAGATCATCAGCTGAAGTACTTATTTTAATTTTGGTATATCCTGTAACGGGTTAATACTATAGTAAGTACAATTGATAATATTTAAATATTTCAAAATTCTTTTATTTTCTAACCAAAATCTAAAATGATCATGGTTGAAAATCTTTCATCAAGAAGAACTGTGCTATACACATGGATGCCTTCATATTGTTTCATGAAAATATTCTTTTTTTCAAATTATGGACTTTGGGATATAGGGTTGAGCTAAAACATATTCATATTAGACGTTTGACATGGTTATTTTCATTTCAACTTTGTATATTAATTCGTGAAAATGATCAGTCCTTTGGGTTGAATTTAGAAGATGTCTATTTAATTGCAACATTATGGCAGATTGTACGGGGAAGATATAAATTAATTATCATTATAAGAGACTCCCAGTTAAGTAGAGACTGTTGCATTTTGAAATCGCTATTATAAATTCAGTACTATTAACATGTAATTTATATACTCTTATTCTTTTCTTTTTCCCCGCTAAGTTCTGCGTCATAACTTGTAAATTGACAGTGATTGGATTATATGTGAAGCGCTAACGTTTTTTTTTTTCGGAAAGGGGGGGGGGCTCTTAGAACACCTCCATTAATCTACCAATCCAAACCATGCATACCAAGTCGATTCAAGATTTAAATGAAGCATTACCACGATCTTTATTGTTGATAAATTGAAGTAAAAAGAAGTAAAAGTACTGTATGTAAAAGGAACTTGACACACCCTTTTAGGAAAATTCGATCGACATCCTTCAGTTTGTAATTACAATTTCACTAATGATAAAGCCATCCTTAAAAAATTGTTTGGAATTGCCGCTGGGAGGTTTCAAAACCAGGAGGGAGAGAGGGAAATTATTTTTTTTTCAAATTTAAATTAAAAATTGATGATAAAAATCTCAATAAGGAATGAACACATTATTTTCTGCCTTCTTGTAAAGGGTATCTCCCAACAACCAGGAACCCAGTTTTGCTTAGATCCTACACTTATTAAGTGATTGGGTGGCACATGTGGTAACACACCAAGAATTGATTGAATAAAAAAAAATCTTATTTTTGGTCAATAAAATTTTTCCAGGAGCTAGGGGCCATTTAAATGAGGCGGAAGGCAATTCCAAAAAAAAACATAATTTTATTTTGGCCCAAATGTTCAGTACCCTCTAGTTCAAGTATTCAGGAGTGTTATCAAATTTCAAATGAAGCAAAAGTTCAACAACATTTTATTGCAACATATTTAGCTGTTTAATAACTTTAATATGATAAAAAAAAAAAGCTGATGCAAAGTTCATGAACACTATGGCTGAAAAGCTTCATTTCCTGTATCTATATGTACGACTGTGGGCTCTGTTAGCGTGGCCCTCCATGCTGTCCAGTCTGAAAACGAATTGTAAAATGTAAATATCTTGTATATAATTTCTTTTCATGCCGTTACACACACACACACAACCAAAAAAAAAAAACAAAACAAAACAAAACAAAGTAGGCTGGATTATAATAATGGTACCTGATGCTGAACATCTCTGTGTGGAAATTCAACCACTTGGCCAAGTTTTTCTGTTCCTCAGCTAGGGTGCTCATTTTCATAGCTACAATGAAATATACAAAGAGCATTTAAAAAATTTGCTTGATTTGAATAAAGAAAAATCCAATCCACTTCCTTATAGATTAATGAAACGTTATTTTTTCACACATGAATTTGTTGGACCGAAAGTTATACTTACCTAATGGCTTCTCGGCTTCGTCGGCATCGTTCAACAAAGCAGTCAAAACCAGCCTCATCTGCACGTTCTCTGAAAAATTAGTAAACAGATATTAACCAGATGTTCCCATTGCTTTTTTTTTTATTATGGTTCAGGTAAAATATGAATGTCGTCGTAAAATGGCAAATGCAGTTCAGAAGTAACGAAGAAAAGTCAACAAAATTAACCTTCTGCAAGATCTGCCATTTTTCTTCTGAGGTCTTGCATTGCAGTGTTGAACTGACGAACAAACTGAACACAACCAACAACAGAAGTAACTAAGAGCAGAAAGGCCAGAAAGAAGAGCAGATCTGTTGCCGAGAAGAAAGACAGAGCAGCAGCAGAGGTAGTTGTGGCAAAGCTGTTCACTCGCTCGCCGAGCGACAGCAGCTCACGCTAAGAGAAAGTTCAGAGATAGAGTTAGAAAGTGTATAGAGACTAAAAATGCTAGAACACAAACACAACGAAAGGCAAACGAGAGAAAATTAAATACATATTTTTTTTTTATCAAATACAAGTTTAATAGAAACTAACCCCTACTGTGGCACCTATCTCCTTACTAAACTGCCACAAATCACAACCCAACCTGTAAACAAAACAAAATACGTTGCTATGGACGCTCTATTGTAAAGCGATAAATAATGACGTTATTTATCAAAAAAATTATAACAACAATACGCATATTACATTTTTCATTTACTTACTCATACATGTCTAGATGCATGGCACGCCCTGTTGACGACAAAATTGTGCCAAGAAGGGTGGAAGATCTGATCAACATGGAAGTTTTCATTTTGCGTCTTGCTTTGACAATGCGTTGAATGCAACTGATGCCAATTCCTAGAGCTCTCGTGCTTATATACTATCCAGGGAATATACATGCTGCCGATTGGCTCAATTTTGCTCGTGCTGATTGGTTCCCAAAAAGTGAGTTATCCAATGAGCGAAGAGCGCCAAAACGTTGTACTCACGTCAAAAAACAAGATGGGGTTCGGTTTTGTGTTTCATGATCTACAATGTTTTGTCAATAATGTTTAGTTTTTACAAATTTATCATGCATGAATGCGTTTATAAGAATCGTTTATTGGTCATTTCTTAGAATATACACGTGGATTAATCAAACATCATACTTTTGTCTAAAAAATTTTATAAGACAATGTCCCAAGTCGCCAAATGAATCTTTTTACCACATTTAGGAATTTTTCGTGTGTTAGCCTTGCAAATAACCACCAATTTTTTGGCGTACGTTTATCAAATACAGCCTGAAAAATAATATTTTGCAAAAAAATTTTAACACTTTGTTCAAAATTGTTTTGATTGATACCATATTGCTCGTCTATGGAAGAACACGGGTCAGCTTGAATTTGATATCGAAATTACATTAGCCAAAGTTAACATTTTGTAAAAATATTCTTAACCCAGACATTTCTTTTTTACACGTGGAATTAAAAATTCATACGCATAAACACGATATTGAGTGAATTTTATGTAGAAACCCGTGTTCAACGTTTTGTTTACAAGGGCGTTGCTATGGCGTCATGCCAACAATATTCAGGCGGAATACAGTGAGTTTTTTTTTTCAAAAAGAACATGTCTTTTTAATATTCCCTGGATATTTATTTTCTCATTTTCATTCTCAACGGCTTGAAAACCAAATGCCCCGTGTTAAGAAGACGTAGATATAATTATGCTCTAGCATTGAAAAGACCTACATTTTATGAAATATATGCAATGCAAATATTCTAAGCTAGGCATTGTTCCTGTAGATTTTTAGCTAGAACCGCATTGAAACTCAAAGCTGTAAGGTATAAAGTTATTTTTTATTTATCCTTAATTTTATCTGCCCTTCATAACTGTACTTACGTTTACCCAAATGAAAATTCCGCTTTAAAAAAAAAAGCCGCCATCATAAAGTAGTGCATTCGGCGGAATAATTTGAATATTAATAACTTGACATTTTTAAAAAGTAGGCCTATTCTATTTTCATTCAACGTAAACAAATTCATGAATTGATAATCCTAAAGGCCTAATATGTCATAGACACAATGACAACAGACCTGTTATTTCTATGAATAGTTCTGGTACTATTTGCATACCCATCTCAGTGGCAACGAACGACAACTCAGCGTAAACACTGCCACTGTCTACCATCGGCTCATACATTGTCTGAGAGGAACGAACGACAACTCTGCATAGGAGATTGAAACACTGCATGTACATACTGAAGAGTTCCAAGGTAAATTGATATTTTTTTTTAAATAGAATAAACAGAACTGCTCATCTACAAAGCACAGGCACTTGTATCGTATACAGGACACATCATACTTATTTTAATATGTGTGGGTGCCCTGTTTACGAGACAAGACTAGTGCCCGACGCGACAGGTGCTACACAGCCTCCCATCTAAAATATCATTGAAAATGCATGGCTTTATATTCAAGGAAAATTCCATCAACAGATCAACTTAAAGCACGACAGAAAACTTTATATTTCTATTCCCTGGAGAATCCAGCAAGTCATTCGCTTGAGGGGTCACCTAACTATTAAAACTTCATCTTTATTCGACTAAGTCAGCCTGTCAAGACGGTATTTTGTACGAGTTGTCTCTCTTTTCTTGGAAACCCGCCTGACCCCAAACGTACACTGGTAAACAAAAATAATCAGGCCCGAAGGAAGAAGTAAGGGAGGAGGCAACCGGACAAAATACAACAGTTTTTGACAGGCAAAGAAATAAAAAAAAATCTACCATTAAACGTTATTTGAGGGGTCACAATTATAATTTTTTTTCTAAAGGGGAGGGGTTTTTTTGGAATCAGATTATTATTTTATGCCAATGATGAATAGATGTTTTTTATGTCCAAGATGGTTGGGAACATATTTATTTTGTTCTTGACTGAAAAATGTTTGTCTAGCAATAAAGGTAAAATGCCCAAGTTCCATACTCGACCCCCCCCCCCCCCCCGCAGTTTGGCCTTCCCCTAATGACCAAAAAATAAATGAAGTCACATATTGTCTCCTGTCTGAAATTCATATGCGTCTAATTGACTGGATTGTCTTCATTATAAGTTTAAATGATTAATTTCATCCATGTATCCAAAATAAAAATTCATAAACAATAAAAGGCATAAATTATATTTCCTGCGTGCGTGTGTGTCTGCATGGTTGGAGCAGCTAGCGCTGAATCAAAAACAAGAAATTCATCATTTTGAAAGGGGGGGGGGGCTCGAGGTGGAGGGATAGGCACACAAGTTTTCAAAAATAAATCTAGTACCTTGCATATGACGCGTGTTTGCTTGAAAAAGAATAACAAAGAAAAATTTTTCCCCAAATTCTTAAATGGGTTTTTTTTATAAACAAAAGGTGTTCAGTCTTTCAAAAATATGCATAGTTTTCTTTTTTTGAAATAAAAACTGACCTAATCAAAATTAAATTTAAATTCTGACTCCGCCATCTTTGATTTAAAAACTCTATCAAACTCCTCGCTCTGAGCCACAGTGAACCAATTCTTCCAGTCTCCAACTTCTCCTGCAAGACAAATCAACAGTTTCCTACATCCAACACTTTACCATAAGACCACTTGGCTTTATTTCCCATTGTGATCACCCATTTTAATTTACATTAATTTAATTTAGCTTTATTTTGTTCAAGAACAATGTAGCAAAGTATTTTTAAAAATTATTTAATTCAAATTTTAAAAATTGAAACAATTCCTGGATCTACAGAAAGAATATTTCGCCATCAAATTATAAAAGAAATACAGAATGGGAATTCAGCAATTCGTTGCTATATTTTTAATTCATTTCTGTCTGAATCCAAAAGTACTATTTAAACATTAAACTTACCTTTTCTGTACATTTTATCCGGGTCATTCATCTCGGGGTTTGGACCGCTTATGGTTTCTGTGATCAAATTTCTCCCTGTTGGCGATTCTCAGGTTTTCTATTTTACATTTATAAACTATTTCCTCTGCTAGAGTATTTGTACATGGAATGCCTAGATATTCAGCTATTGACTTAACGGTCGCCAGCGGATTCTACAGAATAAATTTTAAAGGTATATTGTTTTTATCGTGATGCTTTATCGGGGTAATATACTTAAAAGTTTTATGAGGTTAAATAAAGCATTGGATATAAAATTGAAAAAATGGACAATCTTAGAGGATTGCGAAGAAAAGTTAAAATTTCAGGTAAGGTAAGCAATGAAGGCACGTATAGCATCGTTTTTCAAAAGTGTGTGTGTTGGGTGGCAAGAAAATAGTTGACCAAAAAGGAGGGGGATCCATACTCCAAATCCTATTTCGTGAGTGGGGTAGGGGTTATTAGAAGAAAAATCTTACTTTTCCACCAAAAAATGTGGATAAATTAACATTTGTGAATTAGAACGTGCTGCAACAAAAAGTGGGAAGGAGTTTAGGGTGGGGTTAAAGTTCCCTACTATGATAGTCATAAAAGATTAGGACATGTATATGCAATAATGTAAAAACTAAACTTGTGTGATGAAAGTTAAATATCACTGCATGATTTGTTTAAACTCATTTAATAGTAGAATTAAGGATTGAACTAATCTGTATAAAAAGGGAGAAAATAAAATAAAATTCGCAAACTTGTCCCTCTTTTTTTCAAATTAGTGTAAGAATCTAAAGATTAGGGATATGTAGTAAAAACCTTCTTCAACTCCTCGTAGTATAGACACAAGTAAGTCCTCTTTTTCTTCTTAATTTCGTTTTCCCATTCCTTGGTGTAATCAAACCAATCAATTCTTCCTATAAGAAAGTACATCTTTATAAACAAAATACAAATGCATCGCCTATTATTAGTCCCCTACCGGTGAAATCGGAGGGGACTATAGATTTCCTCTGAGTCTGTCCGTCCGTCCGTCTGTCTGTCTGTCTAGCTGTCCCTCTGTCTGTCTGTCAGTCTGTCCTACTTGATTTTCCGCACTTTTTTTCCTAAACGCTTGCAGATATTGAGCTGATTTTGGTATGTGAGTGTATGTTGATGAGTTAGAGATCAAGTTTGCATTTCGTTCCGCTTCATTGATTTTTGACGGAATTACGGCCTTTTCAATTTTTACGGGTTTTCCGCAATTTTCTTCTAAACGCTTGTAGATATTGAGCTGATTTTTGGTATGTGGCTTTACCTTGATTAGTTATAGATCAAGTTTGCATTTCGTCCCGCTTCATTAATTTTTGACGGAATTATGGCATTTTCAATTCTTAACGGGAACGGAACCAGATTACACTTGCCGGCAGGGGACTAGTATTGCTAATGCAATACTCTCAGAATGCTTGTTTGTATGAATTATTTTTACCATAAACCTTAACATAAAAATATGTGAGATTAAAAAAAACCCCACTTTTTTTCTCGATTATAATATATTTCTAGTAATGGAAATACATACAATGTATAGACATATACTGTTCATAATTTAATCCTTTGAATTCAATTAGGCACTTTTTCATGTAAATTAAGTAATGAAAACAATATAGGTATAGCATTCGAAAACTATACCTCCATAACTATTCAAGAAATACACACAGTCCTCCCAGGTCATAGTTGACGTCTTGAGTTTCACGTCTTTTATATGGTTATAATAAGACACTGCTATATCTTTCGGATTTCGGAGTAAGACCAGAGCCTTTCCTTTACCCTCCAGTGAATCAGTGGATACTTCGTTAGGATAGAAATGGGTATTAAAAACTCGGGGCCTCTCCTCCTCGCATAATTTGTCCATAGAGTGAAATTCCAACATGGCGACCTCTTTTGGTCGTTTGTCATATTCAGTCTTTCCTTTGTGTAGCATGAAAATCATTTCCCATACCCAGTGAGTACCTAATTATAAAACAAAAGATTAATGCAGCAGCATTTTATATGGAACATGGGTATAACACAGAAATATCTAATGGATTTGGGGGGGGGGGGGGGCAATGTACATTCAAATTGATCAAAAAGTGCAGAAAACATAATTTTGTTTTCAATACTTCCCACTGGAAGAGAGAGAGAGTTTTGAATGTTGGCTGACTTTTTAAACAATATTGATAATATTTGGTATATGATTGTAACAGATTAAGGTTAAGGTTCATTGATACT